GAAAAAATACAGGAAAACTCGCCTACAAATAAAATTATCATGCAAAATAATTTTCCCTATGTTTTTTTAATTTTTAATAGTTTATTAGGATAAAATTAATTTCTTTATAAATATACAATTCAATGAAACTAGTTTCTTTGTGTACGAGATACTATAATTTAAATCTTGATTTTGAAATTCTTTAAAATTTATTTTTTTGAATTAAATATTTGAGATTATATTCATTTGATTACTACATAAAATTTTAATTAACTATTTTTTGTACACTTGTAATATGTAAATAATAGTAGTACATAATAATACTATTTTAAATTATTCTCAATTGTGTGTACACATGCATATGTCGTTACATTTCTATGATGCTTTTGTAATTCTTAAAATTAATATTTATTTCCATTATTAACTTATTTATAATTAACAGTTTGTGCCTAACATTAAATTTAAAACTAATATATTAAACAAAAAGTTAACAGTTTTTAAAAATTAATAATACACTAAATAACAGATTTACAGTTTTGATTATAAATTTAACAACAAATTAAATTTTTTGTTTTAATTACACTAATATCATTAATTTATTTGTATTTACAAAATATATATTCTGCACCGGTTTTTATATGTTTACCATTCAAACATTTGTACCACACCGCATGCAGTTTTTTTTCAACATTCATATAGCTTTGAATGGTGACAATGGTTTGGTAGTGCTGAACAAACAATTATAGAGATGCGGTGCGGTTGAAAAAAATGCATCATGCAGAACAAGTGTTGTTACTACGTATTAAGTGGTACAAGATAATATATGAATGATGCAAAAAACTGCATGCAGTGCGGTACAATTGTTTGAATAGTAAATATATAAAATCAGGTGCGGAATATATATTTTGTAAATACAAATAAATTAATGATATTAGTATAATGAAAACTAAAAAGTTAATTTGTTGCTTAATTTATAATCAAAAATGTCAATCTGTTATTTAGTATATTATTAATTTTTAAAGATATATTATTAATTTTTAAAAATATATTATTAATTTTTAAAAATTGTTAATTTATGTTTAATATATTAGTTTTAAATTTAATGTTACGCAAAAACTGTTAATTATAAATAAATTAATAATGAGAATAAATATTAATTTTAGGAACTACAAAAGCATCATAGAAATGTAACGACAGATGGATGCATACACACAATTGGGAACAATTTAAAATGATATTATTGTTGAAAGACTCGTTTCTAGCCGCTTAACGTTCTTTACTTCTTACTTTCCTTAATTGTTTTCTTACAACAACACAACCCTTATATAGTACTTGCACTTAACCTAATTAGAGTTTTGTTAATAACCAAAACCCACACTTAGTTGGACCTTGTTCACTTCTGGCCTAATGGCCTTTTTCTCTCTTTTTCTTCACGATTCTTCTTCTTCGCACTTCTACACGAGCCTCTTCTTCTTCCTTAGACACACATCTCTCTGCACTTCATCTTCTTTTCACCTTTCTCTTCTGATTTCACTTGTACACGATTAAGCAAAGAATCAACTTCCAACAATTATTATTTACTACTATTATTTACATATTACAAGTGTAGAAAAAATAGTTAGTTATAATATTATGTAGTAATCAAATGAATATAATTTGAAAGAATACATGAAAAGTTGCCTAAAAAAATTATCATGCAAAATGATTTTCCTCCGTTATTTTTTTATAGTTTGTTAGGATAAAATTAAATTTTTATATGTCTAAATGATTCTTTTAAATTATTTTGGTTATATGTGCTTTATATACCATTTGTAGTTGTATTTTTAGATTTAAAAATAAAAGAAAATAAATATAAAAATATTGAACCGCACAATAAGATTTGAAACACACATTTTCAATACCTTTTTCCAGTTCCACACCTATACATGGTAAATCATGACACATGAAGAAAAAAATCTACTTTTTTATTATTATATAGATGGTATGATTATTTATTTGTTTCACAAAATAGAATCGCGCAGAATTATTCTACTCATATTATTGGAGTACGAATAAGAAGTTTTTCAAAAATCAAATACGTCTGGCCTACGTGGCTGAATTCCGATCACTCACTGATAAATAGGAGACAATAATAGAAAGTACGTCAATAATATAAGGCACATCAAGAATATGAGACAATAAAAAAAGGCACTGTAAACCCTCAACCTCTTTCTTGTGCAGGTTTATAAAGACCGCCCGTACTCGACAGCTCACCAATATCATGTGATATATCCTAAATAGGAATCCTAAAGCGATACACAGACTTCCTATCTAAATACCACTTGATCTAGCACCAGTGATTTCGTATCAGGTCAAAATCTTGGCTAACTAATCGAAGTGGGAAGCTTTAGTAGACTCATAGATCATGGAACAAATAGGGTCGGTAGGTCCAACCACCACACTACACATATAAATTTAATATTTAAAAGATATGTATTAGTTTTTTTTTTTTTTTTTGTGCAAAAGATATGTATTAGTTAAGTCTGAATTTTTGATCCGTTACAATTTTTTCTTTTTAGATGGAACAATTTATATTTTAGTTTTTTTTTCCATATTAGATCATATTCAAAAAAAGGAAAAAAAAATCAAAAAAATTACAAAGACAAAAAAATAAAAATAAATAACAAACTCGTACCACGCCCGGTGGGACTCGAACCCACAATCGTTTGATTAGAAGTCAAACGCCTTATCCATTAGGCCACGGGCGCATTGTTAACTTTCTGGAGTTTAAGTTTAATATAATATTAAAAACGCAAATGCTATGTTTAAGTTTAATATCGTATTAAAAACGCAAATGCTATATTCATTCCTCACAAGAGCAATTAGGCTTCGGAGAGAAACCATTCTAAGTGCATGCATTCGCATATTATTATAATCTATAATTCTAGTTAGGAATGACTAATGACCAAGAAAGTTAAAGAAACAATGCTAAGTACATTTTTTCAAAAAAAAAAAAAAAAAAAATGCTAAGTACATGCTATTAAAGAAGGAGACTTTTCTGATTGAGTGTCTAGGATCCAAATTCTGATCTTTAAATTCTGATATTATTTACGTGTTCTTGGAAGTAACTTATTAGTAATTTAACACAAAAATCTTATTAGTTACGGGTTGTCGTTTTGCAAACTTAAAATCCCCACATGTTGAAATTTGATTATCTCTTCTATTCTTAGAAGTCTTGTGCTTTTTGATAGCCCGGAAGAGTATGAATGCTCGAGAAACCCTTTCAACTGTGAAAATTTCCAGTAGATTAATAAGATTATAACTTTCATTAAAGTAATTTTCGTTAAAGAAACACACATTATGTCAAATTAACTAAACTGATAAAGCCTGTTTTTATAAATAAAAATGTGGCGTTCAAATGTTAGTTTTGTTTGGTGACTTTGGGCATTTGCCCTTTCTCATCAAAGGGACGCATGACTCTGATCTCTCACAATTTAAATTTATGCATAATATCATCTTTTTAAAAAGATGTGTGTTGAAGGTTCTCCGTGCGCGACGGCCGGTTTTCCGGTGACTGGTTTCTCCTGCCTTCTCCCTCCACTGCCTGTAGACGGTGCTGGACTTTGGTAGAGGCTCTCATCTCCGGTCCAAGTGTCTTGCCTCTCTTCGGCAGAGCAAGCTTTTGTTTGTAGATCTGCTCTAGATCTCCTTCTTCCTGGTGATTTCCGTTGGTCGAGCGTGTTTCCCTTGGCTTCGTCGTGGTGGCGTCTCTCTTCCTGGCTCGGAGTCATTTTTTCCAAGATCTCTCTTGGTCTAACCACCGCGTTTTGGCTCGTGTCTACCGGGTCTCGGATTTCTCTGAGTCAGGAGTTCGCCTTGAGGACAGCTTGCCCCCGCTCGCTTGAAACCTCTGTCCGCTCCGTGCGTGTCGATTTCGTGTGTTGGAGTTTGAATTGAGAGGCTTTCTTTAGCGCAGTGCCTGGTTCTCCAGCTTTGGTCAGTGTTCTCCGTTGGCCCGCTGTTGCTTCTGATGCCTCAGCCTCTCTTTTTCTGTTTCTCCTCCAGATAGGTAATCAAAGTTTGGCTGTTATTGGTTTGTCTAAGGTCGTGTAGTTGTCTTCGTCGAGCTTGATTTTAGGAGAACCATGTCTCTGTTGGCCTACTCTGCTTGGGGACAGTAGCAGAATTTTTAGGAGCATGGTTCTTGTGGCTGGTTAAGCTTTGTCGACGATTTGGATGCTCTTTGCCTCCTTTGTGCAGCTGCAATGGTGTTTTCAAGTTGTGGCGTTAGGTATCGGTGGTAGCTTGTTACCTACTACTTTTGAGATCTCCGTTTGCATTTCGGCTCTTTGGTTTTGTTCAAGACTTGTTCTCTCATGTGGCTTCCTTTTGATAGTGCTTTTGTTTTGAAGTTAGCTTGCTTTCCGTGCGTTTTTCTTTGTGTTTTGGATTGAGCTTTAGAGGAGCTAGTAGGGCTAAAGACTTCTGATGCAGTGGTGATTTTTCTTATCTTGCTCTGCGCTGCTGACTTCGAGGAGGAACTTGGTTAGAGGGAGCTTGCATCTCTGGTTTTTTGCGTGTGAGGTTCCGTTTCTAGGAAAGCTCATGGATTGAATTGAAGAATCGATCTCACTTGAAGCAGGGAGAGTAAGTGATCGTAGATTTGGAGTGTTCAAACCGTTGACGGCTCGGTCTCGGGTCTCCGGCGAAAGGCTTCTGAAGCTCTTGGTCTGTCACTTAAAGGTTTTCCACTTTAAGCAAAAGCCCTTCTACTTTGCACTTTCATTCGGGAAGGATAGATCAGAACGTAATCGCTTCATCTTTTCCCTTTGCTTCATAGCTTTATTTATATGGTTGAGAAGATGGACCAAAAACTTGGTTTTAATTAACCGTATGTTATGTTTCTATGTTTTTATTCTTTTTGCCATGGATCCATATGCATAGGTTTTCAAATCTATGTTTGTAACCTAAACTTTTTCATTTTCTATGAAATATTTACAATTTAGCAAAAAAATCATCTTTTTAAAAAAATAATTTTTGTTTAAAAGTAGGATGTCTCATAATTATGTTTCATTCTTTAAGAATATATTGGTATTTTTAAGTAACGTATCTTCTATTCATGTAGACAAGATAGTTTTTACGCATGTAGATAAGATTTAAAAGCAGATATTAGTAGTGATGATAATAATTAATAATGAAGACATTTATTAGGTCAATTTGCTGACGCTATAAAGCCCGAGACCCTCTCATTTGATTCTAACACAATTCATACTTACATCTTCCAAGTAAGTGATTTCATTTTTGATCCTTTTTTTTTTTCGTCTTGATTTCATTATAATCAATCTTTAACAATTTTCTCGTATCACAACACCACCATACTAACAAGTAACAACAATCATTTTTTGTATTTTATTTGATGAAAAGAGAAATAGTTTGGTGATTTATCGTAAAGATGTTTAAGAAAATGGATAAAAAAGCAACGCAGAGAATTGAGAAGGAATACAAAGCTATGATCTCGAATGACTCTTTGTACAGTATTGGTTAGTAGCTACTTTGTTTTTTTTTTTTTTTTTTTTTTTTTTAATATTTCTACGTAACAATGATATTTATATTTTATATCTAAAATTTTAAATAATCCCCTTCACCTTAATTTTGAATCCTTTGTTAGTTAATTACTTGTGTTGTAATATATTATTACATGGTCAATTAGGTATATGGCTTTTTTGAGAGGTTTTATTACTTGTGTTGTAATATATTATTACATGGTCAATTAGGTATATAGCTTTTTTGAGAGGTCAATCCTTATTAATATTTTCATTTGTAACAATATAAAAACTAATTAAATTACTTTAACCTTTTATTTGTTTTGTTGATGGAATGTATTTAATATAGGTCGAGACTCGAACGATATATACAAATGGAAAACAATGATCCATGGTCCACGTGGTACTCCCTATGAAGGTGGCATATTTAACATCGATATTAAGTTTCCTACAGATTATCCTTTTAAACCACCCAAGGTTGGTTATACATATATGCTATATTAATCTTTGTTTTTTTAAGTTTAAGTTTCTTAAATATTTTGTTGTTTATAAAAGTAATTATGTTAAAAAAAAAAAAGTAATTATGTTTTTATATTTGATATAGTTTACGTTCAGAACTCCGATTTACCATCCAAATATCAATGATGAAGGGTCAATTTGCCTTGACATTCTTAAAGACAAGTGGACTCCTACTCTTACGGTTGAAAAGGTTTCAAACTCGACTCACATTTTTTGTTCATTGTTTTTCGAATTATTCTAGACATTGGTTAGTAAAATAATTATACAAACAGGTGCTCTTGTCCATAACGTTACTATTGGAGGATCCAAACCCAGATGATCCTCTTGTACCTGATATTGGACAACTCTTCAAGAATAACCGATTCCTATTTGACCAGAGAGCCCGAGAATTCACTGCACGACATGCTAATGATTAAAACTTAAATAGTTGTTTTCTAATTTTCGAAGTTTGTCATATCTTACTTATTAATAATTATCAATAGCTTCCTATGCTATGTTATTGTCGAATTCTTTTCTATTATAAAAAAAAAGTCATATTCTTAGTTTAGTTTTTTTCGTTCACTTCAAAATGAATATAATCTATTTAGTTCAACTGGTAAAAACCCTAGGCAAAACTTAAAAGTCGCCAGTTCGAGTGACACTTGGGACGAAACTAATATTACATGTTGTGGTTTCGAGTCTATGAGGATTACGAGCTTTTTTCCAAAACCTCCTAGTATTCAAAAAGAAAAAATATCATCTATTTGAATCAAAACCAAAAACTATTTGTCGTGGTCGTTCAATAAAGGGTTGCCGGATTTTTCAGCCCCCAACTATTTGCAAACTCAAGGAATCTCCCTATACTTTTTCGCTCTTAAAAAATCACCAACAACTAACAATTTTCTTAATAAAACATCCTCAACTTTCAGATTCATCTTGATTAATACGCCTCCAATTGAACCGGCCATTAAACCGGGTTTAACCACAAATCCGCGTTTACTATACCGCGATTAGGATTACCCGCATAAGTACCCATGACCCGAGAGTTAAAACGACGTCGTTTTGACTCGCCTCTTTTTCTCAAAACAAAGCCAAAACGACGTCGTGTTCTCTATTCTCTCTATTTCTCAAAATCGCTAATTGGGGGTTTAGGGATTTCAAAATTAGGGTTCATCTTCATCAAGTCTTTGGTTTCTGAAATTGCAGCGATGAGCACCACGAGTTACTACTCATCCGCTTCAAGTCCATTGCATCGTTTTTCTTCTCTTGGTGTCCCGTCGAACTGCTGGTGTGGAGAGGGTATCATCACATTCACATCAAAAACGAAGGAGAATCCATACCGGAGATTCTACCGATGCGCGATTGGAATGATGGTATGTTTTTCTATTTGGTTAAATTGTTGATTTGGAAAGACCATGGAGTATTGATCGGAGTTTATTTGTATAGAGGGAAAATGAGAATCACTTGTTCAAATGGGTTGATGAAGCTCTCTTAGAAGAAATTAGGATGGTCGAGGAGAAGTGTAAGTTAGTTGCAGAAGATGTCAATGCTTTGAGGATGGAAGTGATGGGTACTATGAAGCTCCAAAACGAAAACTTCAAGAAAATGGAGGAGAAAATGGAGGATGTGATGAGTAAGAAGATAGAAGGTGAAGTGAAGATCATGAAGGAGAATGTGGAGGAGCTGGGTCATGTTATGGCTAAGTCAGCTTTGAAGACAGTAGGTGTTGCTTCTGTTATTCTTTGCTCAATTGTATGGCTATGGGGAAGAGTGTAGGTCTTGAGGCAATGTGTAATGACTTTGTGGTCGTTATGTCTCTGTTTTGTGTAATGATTTGTGCTTTAGCTTTGTGCTTTGTGTTTTGTAATGCCTTTGTGCTTTGTGTTTTGTAATGACTTTGTGCTTTAGCTTTGTGTTTTAGCTTTTGTAATGACTTTGTGCTTTAGCTTTTGTAATGACAAAATGACTTTGTGCTTTAGCTTTAGATTTGTGCTTTGTGTTCCTTTTGTAATGCTATGATAATGATGCAAGAATCCCCCTATTAAACTTGAGGAACCATTGTTGTTAACATCTAAATAGAGACATAATGATCCGAGAATAACATCCAAAAGATCAACATCCAAAAGATCAACATCCATAACATACAAAAAGATACTAGGTGTTCTGATCTTACATATTCTAACCAAGACTAAAACCTACAACTACTAGTCCCACTGGTCCCATTGACTGCTTCTTTGTGTTAGGTTGAGTGTTTCGGGTCCCTGTGATCCTTCTTGATGATCCATAAGCTGTGAGGGCTGAGAGGTAGATACTTCTTGATTCTTTTTACCCTTTTTAGTCTTCTTCTCCTTAGGTGCTTGTGAAGATCCAGCAGCCTACAACAGAAAGATAAACATGTTTAAACATCTTTCTCATTCAAACAGACACATTAGAAAAATATAAGGGATATACCTCTTCTTGATTCTTTGTCTTCTTACTATTCTTCTCCTTAGGAAATTTTTTACAGCCAGCTGCATTATGTCCAGCTCCCTTACATGATCTGCAATGAATTGTAATTCCTTTCCTTCCTAGCTTGAGTACTTCAGGTTCACCCGGATTCTTCTTTTTCTTTGGTGACTCATGTTTACCCTTGATCCGATTATAATTCTTCTTCTCTCCTTTCTTTCTACCAGGTGGAACAGGAGCTTCTTCACCTTCCTCATCTTCCTGTCGTGGTCTCTTCCTTCAGATTTCATCTCTGTCACCCTCTCCATCATTCTCACAGTTTCTGTCGTTGTTGTCACCTCCACCGTCTTTCTCACTCTCACTGTCGGAGTCGGAGTCGTCTCCTCCAGCACTATCGTCATCGCCATCTCCCTCATCTCCGCTTTCAATTCGATTGTCAACCACATCACTCTCACTCTCTGGAGGCACGAAATCAGGATCATCCGGATCACTTTGATACACTAATTCCTTCCACGGCCTATACTCCGATGTATCCCCAACCCAATCAGACATAATTTCAAACCTTAACCCAGAAATCGCAAATCCCCTTTCCCTTTCTCTCAAGAACCCTAATTTTGAAATCCCTAAACCCCCAATTCGCGATTTTGAGAAATAGAGAGAATAGAGAACACGACGTCGTTTTGGCTTTGTTTTGAGAAAAAGAGACGAGTCAAAACGACGTCGTTTTAACTCTCGGGTCATGGGTACTTATGCGGGTAATCCTACTCGTGGTATAGTAAACGCGGATTTGTGGTTAAACCCGGTTTAATGGCCGGTTCAATTGGAGGCGTATTAATCAAGATGAATCTGAAAGTTGAGGATGTTTTATTAAGGAAATTGTTAGTTGTTGGTGATTTTTTATGAGCGAAAAAGTATAGGGGGATTCTTTGAGTTTGCAAATAGTTGGGGGCTGAAAAATCCGGCAACCCTTCAATAAACACTTAAAACTTTGCATGCAAGCAAGCAAGTTTTTTTTTAATGCAAAGTTTTAAGTGCTTAATGAACGACCAACTCCTCCACACTAACAGAACACATCACTCACCTTTGTGTTACATTTTACTCATGGTTTTGCTTTGATTCAAAGCTTTATGGAATTTGTAACTATCTTTGTACTTTTTCCTTGTATCAAAAGAAAACAGAATTGTTTCTTCGATAATGAGGAACACTGAAACATGTTTCTATAGTCTACTCTTATGGTGGTATCAAATATATGTGTGAACCGGAAACCTGAAGAGTGTCATACACCATATACAAACACATACATAGTAACAAATGAAAGAAAAGCTTAGGATCTGTAAAATCTTGATCACATATACTTCTTTTCAACAAGCTTCTTGAGTTGTTCGATTTTGGCAATGAGCTCAGGATGCATAAGGTCCTTTGCTTCCTTCACTAGACTCCCTTCTCTGCTGAAATGATACGCCTCCAACACTGTTTTCATCAAGCTCTGCAAATGCTCAGGCGTCCTACAGAGTTTCCATTTGTACACACACCCTAAGGGTCCATATATTAAGATGTATATATAAGATAACCCGATCAAGTTTTCTCATCCTTACGTGTATAAGTAGTCTACATCAGTCCCTTCGAGCTCGTCCCCAGGGGTAAAAGCGTCTTGTAGAGCGCTCATCTGTTCTTGGGGATCTTCTATCGATAGTAGATACTTAAGTATTCTCACCTCTTTCGGCATAAGCCTCTGTAGATTCCCTCTTGCTGTTACGTACAAGTGATACAATATGTCTTTTACCTGTCAAGAACCAACACCGGAATGGATCAAAGAAGTTACGTGGTGGGTTCGAAGGACTAACTAGATTCCTAAGTTGTATGAATTCAATCAATGTTATACAAAGATAATGTTCACCCAGCGAAAATCACATTACAACTAATTCCAAATCTCTGCCAATGCTGGGAATAACTGTTAAGCAATCGATGCTATTATTGGTTTTACGAGTTTTGTACCTCTTCTTTCATCATGTTGGATTCCTTAGCAGCAGACCAAGCTTTTGTGATCATAAGAACCAACGCAGAATCAAGTTGATTCTTCTCAGCCAAACTATCAATCTTTCTGCAGGCAGCATCAAGCGAAGGGGAGTTGATTATGTCCTGGAGCTTTAATTCCGCAGCATTTAGTGCGTCGATGCTTTCTGTTGAAGTGTCATATGCTTGTACAGCCGCGATAGACAACTTCCCAAGTGATGCAAGAGCTTGCCAATAAGAAAAGTTATCATTGAACAATATCAGTATTGTTTAGTCCCTCAGGGATTAGACAAAGGGTTTCAAATTGTTTCACTGCCATAGAATTTTACCGTTTTGTTCATCCAGATTGTCATAGTAGGATTCTGCAACAGTATGCAAATGCTCGAAAAACTCGTTAGTGAAATCCTTACGATGCCTAGCAACAAGTTCACCAATATCAGCCGGTGGTGTCCTCTTGATAACATTGAGAAGCTCATTATGCCTTTGAATATCTTCATCAACCTGACTTCAGAACAGTGTCACAATCAAACATCATAGATAACCCGATTTTCAAATACATAAAGAGAAGGCAAGAACCATGAATAATTCACCTCTTTGAGCTTTCTTGCAAGCCGATGAACCTTGTGCTTCATCTCAGGGTTATCCTCAGAATCCGCTCGTTCCTGACACCGTCTGTAAAAATGTGGCCGGATACTATCCCATTCTTTACTAAAAGCTAAGAGTCTTCTCCAATCAGATGGTGTAGGCTTATCAACCATAAAAACCTCAATAAGCTTATCACAAACTTTGATCATTCTCTGGTTATCTACAACCACTTCTGATCCACTATCCGCCGTTCCACCGTCTTTCTTCTCCTCTTTAGCTACAACACTTTTATCATCCACAACAGCTGAGATAACAAATCTCTGAGGTCTTTCACTCTTGAAGTTCAATAAACTTCCTGAGACATTTCACAGTATTTTAACAATATCAGACCAGTAAATCTAATGCAACCTAAACTTTGAGATAATTATTTCGATTTGTAAGTAATTAAAGCAAGACTTAGTCTTAATCCTCTAAAATCAAGTAAGTCACAAAGTTTCAAAATTTCTAACATGAATTTGAAAATTGTTGAAAGCCTTTACCTTTTCCGATTGGAAGACCACCGGAAGTGACATGTACATGATTTCCGGCGAAATACAGAGGAGAAACAACACGAGCTCCGAATTTTACAGAGGGGAAGTTAGAAAGTGAACAAGAACAAGAAGATTGGAATAAAACGGAAACCATTTTCTTTGAAAGAAGACAGCTTTCACAGAGATGATAGAAGAAAGGGTTTTAGCCGGAGAGATTCTTCATCTGAGGAAGATGAAGAAGAACTAATGGCACTATTGTAATATTCTTTCCAATTTGACGGCATTTCGAGAATATAATTTACTCACAACATTTGGCCCGTTAACACGGCCCAACTAGAACAGAATGAGTTTAAGCGTTCGTTTAGACCCCCGATCAGACGATGTCTAGACAACTGTTTTTTTTTTTTTGGACTCAACTTCAACTTCATATTAACCAATAAACTGTTACATATTGTCTATGTCCACAAAGGGTTTAATCCATATTGGCACTACAGAATACAACTTAGAACCATGATTCTCAAAAGAAAGAGACTCCTTTGCTATTCTGTCCGCCACGCCATTTCCTTCTCGATACGTGAACACCACTCTATAATCCTCGAATTGCTGTAGAAGATGCTTGATGTCTTGAAAGATTGGATTTAGGTGATTGTTTTCTTTTTCTCCCCTGATCAAGGACACCAGCTGTTGAGAATCAGTCTCAAAAATTACCTTACGATAGTTAAGCCGTGCCATGGAAAGTACAGCCCATCTAAGACTTTCAACCTCAACTTCTAGCACTTTTCCAACCCGAGGTAAAGATCTTGCTCCCAGCCACAGCACTCTCTTCTCATGATCACGTAAAATCCAACCAAGACCACAAGTTATGCTTTCTGCATTCCAGGCCCCATCTGTATTACACTTCACCCATCCTGGTTGTGGCGGTTCCCACTTGATCCTGTGCTGCTCAGTTCTTGTCATCTGAGACGGCTGGTTGCATTTTTTCTTTCTCATTCTCCATTCCTCTGAGACGGTTGGTTGTCTAGACAACTGTTTAGACCGTGGAAGTTACTTTTTTTTTTTTTTGGTTCAACAACGACTATTCATTAACCAATGTTCTTACATAACACATTCCAATTCACAATACTTTTAATCCAACTGGGCATTATAGAGTATAACTTGGGATCATAGCTCGACATCGAGAGAGATTCCCTTGCTACTCTATCCGCCACTCCATTTGCTCCTCTTAGTACGTACATGAATTTTACCGCGGAAGTTACTTTCTATTGTTCGAATTTG